ACATTTTGAGCCAGCCCTACCCCCAAGGGCTGTAGGGTGGGGCCCAAAGGAGTCAGTGTGCTAAAATTTCTTCATTTTCCTTGTTTAGAATCAGAGGTGCTAGTTTCAAATACTTTTTAGTCTTAAATCTGTATGCTAGATATTGAATAAGGTGGTTTTATTGTTTTTTGTCACTTTAAATAATATTTCTGTTCATGTTAAAAACAAATTCAGCTCTCTGTATAAATATATCAGGTGACCGTTAAGGCCCATGGGCCTCTTGTTTATTGGTATAAGTTAAATATCTAAGCAGTGCTTTGCTATTGTTAGTATTTTGTTTGTCTAGTAAAATAAATTAAAATCCTATTGTTTGGAAGGAAGAATTTATGACAGAAACGATATTTTTCATAAAAAGAATTTTCAAAAATCATTGATCGATGTCAGAATCACCTGTATCAACAAATGTTATCCTTTGAATAATTAAATTTAATCATGCTACTGTTTTAGCTTGGGAACAAATTTCATTAGCAAGTATCCATGCTTTGTCAGACAGATGAGGACATACATTTTTGTTTTTATTTATCAAACTAATTGAACACCCAAAATCATGCACTTTTTAAAATGCTTGCAGACGTTTTTTCAGAAGCATGCATTTGTTTGCACATTTTCTCAGCTTGATATAAGCTTTGTTGTAAACATCTTTTAACATTATGCCATAATATCATATTTGCAATAATACTGAACTAAAACACTGTACATTGCCTCAATAATAAAAGTGTAATTTTTTACTGTATGGTATGAATAAGATGGGTTTCTTTTATATTTTTTAATGTGAAATCTATCAAACTTTACATTAAAGTAGTTATACAGTGAAAAAGAATTAAATGCCAGTATACATTTAACAAAAATCTGATTCAATGATTTTTAACTTTATACTTATAATCATGAATATTAACTACCAAGTTGTATGCTGTATTGTACATACTGATCAGTTATAATACAAAGATGGCTCAGAAATCAAAGTAAACTTAAAGTGTCTCATATTAAAAATGATGAATTAAAAAAAAATAAAAAATTACATAATTATTTTTGTCTACTTCAGAACAATATTGGTTCCGTTAATATTTTTTACAACGTTATATGTGTGATGTATTTTAATTGGGTAGATCCCATCTTTGTAATATACCGGTTGTATTGAGTAGAATCTCCCAATAACTTACAATTATTTAGTTAAACTAAGAGTGATCGGTTGACACTAACTTAGGTGACCTGTGATACAATGTGATATGTTATAATGTATATATATTATTAGCAATATTGCTGAGATTTGGTTTGGTAAATTCCCGTATCGTATTTATCTTACAATTTTACAATTTCACATTTTGATGTAAAGCAAACAATTTTGCCCAGTGCCAAGACATGTGTTCTTACGATATCTTGCGTATAGGTCAATAAGAATTGACAGATAATGACAACACCGTAATTTAGACGACAATCTGAAGTTTTCATTAGAAAGTTATGGTTAGGCATGCACACTGGTGCCAAATCTTAGTTTCCATGAAAAACAAAACAACCGTTGTAGCCTAAGAATGTTATAAAAAATGATTTATAAAGATGTCCATTTTTAGACGAAATCTGTTATGACATCGTTACTAATTTACAAGATGTCAGTTATGACTGCCTTTCATTGTGTTCATCCTCAACTAAAACGTTTTGGATTCACTTTTTGATTCGTCACTTAATCATGCCTGAAATGTGAATACATTTTTTATAATCGCTATGACAGCCAGGTCACTTGACCTCTGAACTTATGGGTGGGAATAGATTAATTAACAGTCTGCATAGTTTCCTGAAATAAAATTTAAAGTGTTCAACTAAAACAGATTCGTTGGATTCTTAATTAGTAATGTGTTAAATGGTATTTTTTTTTATTAAAAAAAATGCAATAGGACATGTATAATATTTTCATGTGCATAATTGATTAATATTTCGTCAAAAATGCTGATATATTTATTTTCGGTATATCAACAAATTGCTTATGATGTTTATAATGTAAGAAAATAAGTTCTTGTTCATATCGCAGGTCCTTCATCTAACACTAACATATGATTGCCATGTTACACGATCACATGATGGCCACCTCACTCCATCAAATAATGGTCCTGTAACTACAGCTCATATAATCACAGTTTACTCTCCTTAACCAAACAGACTTGGCATATGTATTCATATATATAGAATCATATATAAAAATATAAGAGATAGTTTAAAAATTATGATTTATCAGATAGCATATAGCCTTATTAAGTGGTTAAAGATTGCACAACAATGTCTCATGAAACTAATCAAACCAGCTGAATAAATACTTCATATGCTTATCACTGAAACATTGGTATAATACATTTATTTATTGAACTTTGATGAAAATATTTAAAAAATTAACACTTTTTGTTTAATTTTAACACTTTCACCCCATGTAACTTAAGTAGACTCTACCCTGCATTGATATGGATGTGTCCATTATGGTCTACAGTGGTGAAAGGGTTAATACTTGTAGGCAAGAGAAAGATTTGTCGGTTATTTTACTTTCTGAGGCAGTACATGTCTTAATCATTAAACATATCAGACTGTTGTATATGTCTGTGGTGGTTGTTCCTATCTTTGTCTTCCATGCAGTGTTTTATTTTTGTTTGTTGATGTTTTTTAAGGAAAATTCTTATTTTTTGGAGGCAGCTTTTATTGATGATCTGATGAGCGAATAACAAAGATGTCCTGTACATGATGTATACTACCAGTAATTGGCTAGCTATGCTTGGTGTTAAGTTTACGCCCCTGTCCAACAACCCTAGTCCTATCTCTTCTAAAAGTGCAAGTCCTTTGAACTTGCAAAGTAAAAGATTGGACTAAGCTTTTTGGACTCTTTGTAAGGGTTAGATGTCATGGGTTTATCATTGGTGGAATATTGTTCTCTCTCGTGTATATTGTGCCGTGTTTGAAACACAGACTTGTAAATATTAAATGTACAGTCCTGTAGTACACATGTTGTGGATATAGCTATATTGTTTTTACCAAATTTTGAAACTGCAAATTTGTTTTTAAAAAATCTGTTTTCAAAATGAAACATGTGACAGGTTTTTTATTCAAAGTATTGATGATACATGTATATAATAAGTGTATTATGATTATTTTTGATCATTTTATCAAAGCTTGAAAAAAATAGCATCAGTTTATCTACATAACATCTTCTTAAAGTAATTCTGGGTGAAGAGATCGCATTGAGATCTTTTATGATATATTTTTTTTTATATCAAAACATGATTTAGTTGCATCACAGAGATTTTTATTATGTAGTGTTAATAAGTAAAATCATGGTGGCTAGAACTGTTTAGGATATTCACGGATATTCTTCATGTCTTTAATCTTTGGAATAATTTTAATTTTTCTCTGCTATCATTCATGCTTGGCTCAGCTGGAATATCCACTTGGACTCAGTGATAGTTTTGATGAGATCATTGGGAGTACTTTTGATACGGTGATTTATTCCAGGCCTTGATGAGATCACTGGGAGTACTTTTGGTATGGTGATTTATTCCAGGCCTTGATGAGATCATTGGGAGTACTTTTGGTATGGTGATTTATACCAGGCCTTGATGAGATCATTGGGAGTACTTTTGGAACGGTGATTTATTCCAGGCCTTGATGAGATCATTGGGAGTACGTTTGGTACGGTGATTTATTCCAGGCCTTGATGAAATCATTGGTAGTACTTTTGGTACGGTGATTTATTCCAGGCCTTGATGAGATCGTTGGGAGTACTTTAGGTACGGTGATTTATTACAGGCCTTGATGAGATCGTTGGGAGTACTTTTGGTACGGTGATTTATTCCAGTCCTTGATGAGATCACTGGGAGTACTTTTGGTTATACTGTGATTTATTCCAGGCTGTTCGCTCGTGGATGATTTCCAGATGATTCCCTGTACTTCAGACTACAACAGACCTTTTGTTAGTGAATGTTTTGATTCACAGCTTTGTCCAATTTGGTCAGGCCATAATTAGTAGGTGGTTGATTCATATGATTACCATAATTTCTTGCATATTGCCAGTGGACAATCTACAATCTTGATGAGATCATTGGGAGTACTTTTGGTACTGGGATTTATTCCAGGCCTTGATGAGATCATTGGGAGTACTTTTGGAACGGTGATTTATTCCAGGCCTTGATGAGATCATTGGGAGTACGTTTGGTACGGTGATTTATTCCAGGCCTTGATGAGATCGTTGGGAGTACTTTAGGTACGGTGATTTATTACAGGCCTTGATGAGATCGTTGGGAGTACTTTTGGTACGGTGATTTATTACAGGCCTTGATGAGATCGTTGGGAGTACTTTTGGTACTGTGATTTATTCCAGGCCTTGATGAGATCGTTGGGAGTACTTTTGGTACGGTGATTTATTCCAAGCCTTGATGAGATCATTGGGAGTACCTTTGGTCCTGGGATTTATTCCAGGCCTTGATGAGATCATTGGGAGTACTTTTGGAACGGTGATTTATTCCAGGCCTTGATGAGATCATTGGGAGTACTTTTGGAACGGTGATTTATTCCAGGCCTTGATGAGATCATTGGGAGTACTTTTGGAACGGTGATTTATTCCAGGCCTTGA